GTTCTCCAAACCACCGCACCCTGTAGTACAACTTACTTAGTTGGTAGTTGTTTGCCAGACAACTATTTTTGCAGGAGCGTGCGCACCTAGTTGCCTGCAGACAACTACAGATAGGGCCCGGAGATAAGAAACGTCAAAATCGGGTCGAGCCTCAATTTCTTATTCTGGGCACAAGGACCAGCCGAAGTCGGTCAATGGATTTCTTTTTCCTTTGGGCTGTCGCATCCTGCTGATTTTCCTATTCCTGCTGTATTTTCTTATTTCTAATGGCGAAGAAAACAACACACACACCAAAAAAGGTCTTCACGTAGCATTAGACCGACGGCTCGGCGTGGCGAACATTGGGGTTTGTGGCACAGAAGTACAGCAGCAGTGGGTAGCGCAGCCACCGGCGGCGCTGGGGCGCGGGGGGCGCCGCGAAAATAACCACTCCGCCCCCAAGGGCGCACAAAAAAAAATTATCCGACACCTAACCCTACCCCCCCCCCCCCCCGGGAGGGGTGTGAAATAAGTTTTTTTTTTTAAATATTTTCGTACAGGCTTTCTTTTGGCTTTCTCCTTCTCCATTGCGTGTGCTTGCGTGTGGTGGTGTTTACGGCACGACGTGCAAGCAGGACCTTGTTACTAGGAAGGTGTAGATTGCTACTTCATGTACTGAAATAAGCTGTGATGGGCTGGGGACACTTCTTATTTGGTTTTCAAGTCTTGAAGTACAACAGTAGTGCTTGACGACAACCCCTCAGCTACAAGTAACTTAGAACTTCTCCAAGCCTCTGCGACAAGTTCACGACATTTGACCTCGGTCGAATGTGGCGAAAGGACACAACCAAATGACACATACCCATGCGTCGAAACGTCATCATTCCAAGCTTACTCAAGCCGGCAACATACCGAAGAGGGGCTGTCGATGAGCCTACGGCGGTGGAATCACCTTCGCCACGTGCAACACCCATCCACAAATAATAGTAATTTGTCTTGGATGGTACTTATTATTCACTCCCCGAAGCCCCTCCAGTATTGCCAAGTCAAACTCATCCTCGCTGAACCCTTTGGCACTATACTTGCCATTCACCGCCTGCTCTAACCTATGCATGATACCACTCAGCGACAAGCCGTCTCGCCGCGCTTGAGCCATCAACCTTCGAATGCCATTCACGTCATTGTCTGCCATGTAAATGAAGATACTCTTCGCGAGTGCAACACGACCATGCAAAGCCGCGCACTTCCTGAGTTGGTTCAAAGTGTACAGTTTCTGCACTTCGAACTTCTTCTTCCACCGCGTCAGCTTGCCTCGTTGCTGGTGAGGAGTCAACAAATCTAGAGCAAGGTGCTTCAACCTTGAGTCTTCTGGCTCCAACGATGATCGATCGTTGAACCAGATCTGCTCCAAGACGGAAGGGGTGCAGAGGGAACAATCCAATTTAAAAAAGTACATGATGTGTGGTGGAATGAGGGTACGACAGTTAAATGGTCTTGCCTTCCTAGTTGTGCCCTCCTATTTCGCGTTTGTTTCGCTACGTGGTCTCACCTCTGTAAACCTTACTACCCTTGATGTCAACACACGGCTCGCACGTGCCTCCTGGTTCTTCCACTGCTCCAGCACAACCTGGGCTCAGGATGCCGCGGGAGACGGATTCCACGGCGTAAAGAGCCACGCCATTCGGATCTATCCGAGCCTCCCACGACAGCCCCTTTTTGACGACACCATGCAAAGCTGCTGGGTAGTGTTGGAGAAGAGGCTCCCGAACATTCGGACGCAATCCTGCGCAGCGGAGGGGGTTTTGGACGCGCACCATATCGGTCGAACCACTCTCGTGTGCAGCGTCGGAGAAAGTTCCATCCATTTCGCTGCTCGCGCCCTCACAACCCTCACGCCCGTTCACAACTCCCGTCGCAACCACCTCACCGTCGCTACCCGTGCCCGTTCCGCCCTCACGCCCGCCTGCAACTCCCGTCGAGAGCACCTCAACGTCACTGCTTGCGCCCGCTCCGCCTCCGCCCCCGCCCTCAACTCCCGTCGCAACCACCTCAGCGTCGCTACCCGCGCCTGCTCCGCCCTCACGCCCGCCTGCAACTCCCGTCGTAACCACCTAAACGTCACTGCTTGCGCCACCGCTGCTATCCATCACGTCCCTCGACCCCTTCCCGCCGCCCGTAGTGATCGTTGGTGTAAAAAACCTCAGCATTGTATTCCTCTGACGCTTAGCTTCAGCACCACGCCTGCGGATGTGAGTAAATATTGATTGATCCCCCGTTGAGAGATGGAATAATTATCTAAATCGTTCTACTGTACATTCTGCGTCAAGTTGCGTACAACAGTTGGCGACGCATTCGCACACATCGACAAAGCTGCATGCACGCATTGATACTTTGCGCGACATGCGTGCAGCGAGGATAGACAAAGTAACGGGTCTTGCGAGGTCTTGAAATGTTGGTAAGCACAAGTGAGCAGTCCAAATTACTCGAGAATGCAACTGCGGACACCGACCGCCATCGCCCTCACATGTGTGCGGTCGACCTCTCTCGTGCTGGTTCACATGAAACTGGGTCAGCCCTTCACCGGAGCCGAAAGAGTGCTGGCACGTGGTGCAAACCCAGTTGCCACTGCTATTCTTCTGAGCGATTTTCGCAACAAACAGGCGAACGCGATCTGCTCGCATGCGATGGGCGTGCGGAAAGTGGCAGGCAAGGGCAGGGGACACCAATCAATGTAAAGGCCAGTTCTTCTGCAGAGGCACGAATATCCCCGTGGCACACAGCCTTGTGGGTGGTGCCGGTCTGCATTTCGCGCTTTTTTTTTCTCAAACGTTGTCACAAGTTGTCATGCTGCTCAGCTACCGCTGCGGCTTCTGCCTCTGCTGTTGAGGCTCCCGCTACTGATGCTTCCAGTTACATGGGAAGCATCATAACACACACGCAGACGCCGCTGCCAGCTACACGGGCAGCAGTACAACCACGTTTGGTGTGTACAACACGACGGCAGTCGCATCGCGAGGGCTCCGCATTCGCGCACTCTTGGTTGCGTCCAACCTTGGTGTGGGTTGTTGTGGGTTGTTCTTGCTATTGCTGCTGCTGCTGCTGCTGCTGCTGCTGCTGCTGCTGCTGCTGCTGCTGCTGCGAGGCAGATTATACTATAATGCAACCAAGGCAATCTCACAAAATGGTCCTCATTCCTCTACACTCACTCTCGTGCGTGTGCGAAGCCTCATGCTGCAAGGCGGTGCCCTCGTCGACTCCTGAACCGTCGCCGAAGTTGTGTCCGCAGCGGCAAACAAACTGCATGCCATCCGCTCGCTCTCGGCAGACGCGGTTTAGCCCAGCCGTCTTGTCGAAGGGGGTTGTTGATAGGAATACCCACGGAGACTGTGCTCATCGTGACCACTCTCCCCAAGCTCTCGCTCTCCCTCGGTCCTCTGCTACGGACGGTACCGCGGCTGCGGGCTGCGGTACTCTCAAGTTGGTACTCTGGAGCAGGGGCTACGTGGATTGTACTACCCCCCTGCATGAAATGTGCCCACTTTATATATAGGATTTACTATAGAATTATATATGTAGGAAATTGTCTGGCGTTTGGGGGGGGGAGATGGGACCTTCGTACCCCCCCCCCCCCCCGGGGGGGCCCCAAAAAAAATTTTGGGGGGTTTATTTAGGGTCGGAAAAAAAAAAAAAATTGCGCCCTTTGCGCCCCTAACAAAAATTTTTTTAATTAGTTGGTTGTAAAAAGGGGGAGCATGGGAGCCGCCGCAGCCGCAGGGGGAAGTTTTTTTTGGAACCATCCCCCCACTTTTTCCCCTTGTTTTTTTTTCTTTGGGGATCCCCCGATCCGTCATTTTTTTTTTTGATTTTGAAGTTTTTTTTGTGTTGTGGCCGAAAATTGGGTGTGTTTTTCCCAAAAATTTTGGGCCTTTTTTTTTTAAAAAAAATTTTTTTTAACTGGGGGCCC